TTTTTTTTTTTTTTTTTTGAAAGAGACTTCGGCGTTGTGGTGTAAGTTGGAGGAGCTTCGGGACAAACTGATACCATTTATTTAGGTCGGGGTCTTATTGGTAGTAAAGTCTTAATAGAGCCTTTTTGTTCTGCAAAAAACCGGATTACTGGAAAGAACTAAAGTTGGATCTGTTGAAAAAATCTTTACCAAAATTTTTGGAAGAACCGTCCCTCTTGTAATTCTTTTATTTCTTTGCTAGATACTCCGAATAAACCAGAAGCTACCTTAATAAAATATTATTGTGCTCATAGCCAATAAATAAGTCAACCAGTAAAAAATAAAGACAGCATAAACGACTTCACCAAACAGACGACCCTTCAGATTGCTGGCTTAATTACTCCTTTAGTTATTCGAGTATCAAAAAGTTACATTTTTAGCTATAAATAGTAGAACCGGTAACAACGTTTAATTACACTACATTTGATACCACTAAATTAAAAATGCTGCAGCATTTCTGCCTAAGTTATTTTTGCTTATAATAAACTTGAAAAACTGTAGGTGAAAGATAGCAAATGAATTGTAGATATAAAAGGTCGTGAAGTTTATTAATATTTGTGAAAAGAAGGTGCAGAATACTTTTATTCAGTTTAACTTTGAACTTCAAAATACACTTTTCTTTGTATCTATGTCGCAATTATTCCACAGTTCTTTAAACTGGGAATGTGTACTGTAACACTCCTCAGTGCGTCTCTAAATGTCTTCAGCTTATATTTTTCCTGTGAGCGATGACAGCCACCGAGGCTTGGAGCACCAAACCAAGACTGTACTACGTCAGTACAAATTTAACCCCATAGAGCGTTCCTTGAGATCCACGGTACAAGTATGATGATAAGCGAGGCTTGCCAGCAATAATTTAGTACCAAATTATTATTATTATTTTTTTTTTGGTAACGCTGATTTGGTAGCACCTTACGAAGTATTACTACATCTCATAGTTAACAACCATTTATTATTGAAAATCTCTTGAACTACTAAGACCTGAAGCATACTAGTGATACTATACTCGATGATACGGTAATAATTAAAACGATTCTGAGCATCTATTTGCGACCCTTGCTAATATAAGTGTGAAATAGTTGCCACAAAAATAAAACAAACAGTAAAAAACTAATCAAATCAAAACGAATAAGGATTTAGACTACTAAAATTCAGATTTAGGGATCTACAACATGTTACATCGCGCGACTTCAGATAAAAGTGAAAGCAAATCTCCGGAAGAATGCAAAAGATCGATTGAACCAGGTTGCAAGCGATGCTACTGAAAAAGGCTGAATGCTCAATGAAAACCGAAACCATCATTGATCCAAAAGAACTGTTTAGCTTAGATTCTGTATCCTTTTATGCCAACCTTTAACCTTCACTTTTCGCTTGAAATCTCCGATCTGCCTTCCAGAGCGTCCTCTTGAGGGTAGATCATAACTTATAGACTTTGGTTATTTAAATGCTGTTTCACCTACGATCACGACACTCTGTGAGACAACTCAAAAGTAAAATTAAGGCCTAAAGGATTTCTCACAACAAGCTGAAGCAAACGTCCCGTGAGTTAAGTTAAAGCCAGTCTACGAAATCCATACTGGCTTGTAAATTCGATGTTGTTCAAGGTTGAATCCTGAGTCACTAAAAGAAAAAAATTTTTTTGGTATTTTACAAGGAGTTGAAATAATGAGAAACAACTTTACTAGCACGCTACAAAGAAGCGATCTCTTAGCAGTTTTCGTAAAAGACGCATCGTGCAGAATTTTCGATTTCGGAAACTGAATGAGACTTTATGGCAAAGAAATTATAGTTGTGAGTTACAATTATTACACCAGGCTGAAGTTGTTAATTACAGTGAATTTTAATGAAATTCTGCTAACAAGCTGATTCAGTATACTTTTTAATGCACCTGCAAAGTCCTTACATTTTGACGGTGCACCATCTAATAAAGATCCACTGTTCAACGCAGTTTTACATCGAGCTTCTCTCTTAGCTACTTGGGGCCCTCATGGGCATACTACCCAGAACGCCCCT